TATATATATATATATATATATATATATATATATATATATATATATGAAATATTCTATTAATTAAAATATATATCAAATCAGATGAGATGTTAGAAGTGTAAAGTGACATAAAAACGAGTGGTGTGGAAATAACTTATCGTGATATTTATATGTTTTTGTGGTTATTTTTTTGACTATATTTCTATTTTTATAGAGGAGATAAGATGTGGGCGATACGGAAGCCATGATAATAATACTAATTATAAAGAAGCAGGGATAAATGTAGGGGAACACCCCACTTCAATATATCAACCACTTTTTTCGTATATATATATGTGTTTTATATATATATATATATATATATATATAATTGAGATTATGTAAGGTTTTTTTTGTGAAACCATTTTGAAGCTTTTAGTGATGGTTTATCAAATTTCTGGTGAGAATATCAAGGACTAAGGAGTTGTTTACTAAACACTTACTTGGTAAGTGTTTATCGGATAAATTTTCTCATCGGATGAACATGAGAAGGACAAAAAATCTTATCGGGTAAGAGCGATGAGAAGGATGGAGAGTCTTACTCGGTAAGTGAGGATGACGACTCTTACCCAGGTAAACGCTCACCAAGTAAATTGTTGCATTCGATATGTTTTGATATACTAAAATCTTACACGTCAAAATAAATCATAGTGTTGACTCATATGGGTAAGCGCTTATCGGGTAAGCAATTGGGTAAACAGCCCCTAAGAATCAAAACTCGTTAAGAGGCATGATAACAATCACCCGTTTAATTAGTGCTTAACAAGTAAGAGATGCTTATAAACAAACCATCTTGATGGTCGAGAATGTTTTTCCGACAAGATAAGACTTAGGAGAGGATGATATTTTTGTCTGTAAGCATTTAATGAAACTTGATGTGTGAACCTATTCACATCCCTCGATCGCTTTTGATCCAATGAAGACGGTTGTTTTTTGGTTTTTCACATTTGGACACAATAAGTTCGATTAAGATTTGTTAAAATTAGTTAAAGTATGTTAAAGTTCAATGTTTTTATATTAATGTTTCCCTCCAAAGGTATGTGGAAGTATGTTAATGTTAGTTAAGGACTTTAAGGATATGTGAATATATGTTAAGGTTAATTTTCATGTCAAGGTATATTTACGTTAGTTAGGGAGTTCATGAGTTGGGTTGATCGGTTGAAGACATTTGAACAACCTAACCCAACCCAATCCAACGCTTGTGGTTTGAAATATCTCAACCTAACCCAACTCAACCCAAACTGTAGAGGTTGTTGGGTTGATACTTTGGTACATCAAAATATTTTCTCAACCATATGAGAATAAAAGTTATGCTGATAACACTTTTGAGTATTTCAATGGAATCACCTTTTAATATAACTTAATTTTTTTCAAATACATTCATCTACATTCAACTTGCTCCGGGACGGAGTCGGAATTTATATTCACGGTGGTTTGGACGGTTGAGGCCGTGCCAGATTTAGATCGGATATTTTTGGGCTATATTATGTTTTTATAAGTTAGTTTTGTATGCAACAAAATACATCGGTATGAAGCCGTTAACAGAATAGGCAATCTTCACAATTCTTCATCGTTATCGATCTTATGGTATACGACAATCCAACCGAGTTACAATCACATCAAGGGGTTACACGTTACAAAATCACGACGAAAGAACTTATCAATAAGCAGGTAACAAAAAAATCAATTATCAACTGAACACTAATATTCTCAAGAGAGTTTGACTGCATTGAACTCGTATGTAAAGAAATAACGTTTTCAGATCTTACTAGCAAACTTGAGTCCCTCGCTGGCAAGCGACTCGAGACTTGGGGCTGCCGGTTGCTCTCTGGCAACTTTACGAATCGCCTGGTTCTCTTCAGGTGTTCCACTTTCTAAGAAAGCACCCATTACCTTGCCATCTTTGACCCAGTATGTACCGAACTTGGGTTTTTCGGATTGTGGATCATGGTTTCCGAACACAACTGTTTCGCCAACGTTATCTCCAAAGAACTGCCAAGATAGATCGAAGGAACGGGAGTAAAAGTATGGAAGATAATGATAATCCTCGATTCCCTTTCCTTGCTCGCTAGCGAAAATGGCCTGAACATAAGCAGGAACAAGAACTAGTCAGGTCAATCTCCGCCTGGCTTGTAGGCACTACATCTGTGAAAATCAGACCAAACAAACCCAGTATATCCTACACAGTGGTAGAGTCTGTGGAGCGTAGGACGTGTCCAAACTTTGCTTTTATCCCAAAGGGTAGAGAAGTTGTTTTCGTAGCCATGATCCAAAATGTGTGAAGGCATGCAATTGCATGAGCAGAATATAGAATGACCTGGGGGTCGTTACCAATACAAATTGGATAAGCACTAACTGAGTAGGTGAGGCTCTTGATCCTTACCGGGATAGCATCTCGATCAGCGACATTTTGGGCAAGAGGGTGTGGATAAACTAACATTATTTTTATCAAGTCAACACCATTTATCCGGTAAGAAACGATAAGCTTTAGTAAACATGCCCTATTTTTTAATTTTCTAACAAAATGCCTCAAAACATATGGTTCTAGTTAAATAAAAGACATAATGGTGATGTTTTTAGGATTTCTTCATATTTATTCTTAATATTAACTAGGGAAATTGACCAAACTAACCGTTTTGGATTTCGAAAGTACCTATTTTGCAAAATAGTCAAGATCTCGATAGTATCCATTTCGCAACAACTTGCGAAATGTACTTCTTATGAATAAAATATGGGTGGGATATTTCGCAGGCCAATAAAGAGATTTCACAAGCCGTCGCACCCATTCAGCAAGCCGCTGTGCCAATTTCACAAGCCGACTCCATCAAAATCATATTTAATTAAGAAAATAGTACATTTCGTAAGTTGCAAGATGGACACTTGCTACAACTTGGCTATTTTGATCAAACTGAAGAAAAAAAAACTAGGCTAAAAAGCGACGAATATCATCCAAAATAACTAGTTTGTTCAATTTTCCCCAAGTTTTTCATCTTCGAATTATTATTAATTTCATCACGTTTGTAGTTTTCCATCACCAATATAAAAAGATACCTTTGTGGTATGGGGGTCACATTATGGAAGGGTTCTAAGATTATCGTGATGGTGTAGCATAGCCTCGGTGCTCATTTACGATAATGCTTATCGGTAAGCATTATCAACAAGAGTCGCTATTCTAACTTAACATATGGAGTAACATTTTCGGCCATTAAAATGAATTGATGGTAAGCGTTTATATCCCAGTAAGCGCTTACCGGGTAAGAGTCATCACTCTCGCTTACCGAGTAAGAGTATTGAATTTGCATTCCCTCTTATCAGGTAAGTTTATCATTTTTGTTCATCCGGTAAAGTAATTGAAAAAGTAAGCGCTTAACAAGGTAAGTGTTTAGTAACGGCCTCTTAATGCCTTTTGAAATGTCATCTAAATCATGTCGCTTATATATTACTAATGTAAACTTATATTTGTTATTGTAAAAGTTACCTTCACAGCTTGTTCTGCAGATTTGCGGGAATGATCAACATGTTCAACTCTTCTCATATCGCCGTACATTTTCATGGGGAATGTAGCAACATCACCGATGGCATATACGTTAGCAACGCTGGTTTTGAAGAATGCATCTGTCTGTAACAAGAAGCCCAAGTGAGATATTTGAATCACAGACAAGCTAGACATATATATTAAAACAAAGAAAATGACTGTTACAAGCCTTATATTTTATGTGCCAAGTCCAAAGATGGACAAACTCCCCCAATGACCGGCGTAGGACCGGGACAAGGACCGATTAGGACGGGGAGATGGGATTGTAAGACCATCTCCAAGCACAACAAAAGAAACACCAATTTGGTGGCCCATTAACACCAACACAAAATTAAATTCCAACCACATGGCATATATGCCGTTTCTTTCCCATCTCAGGCATGTTACCATTCTTATTGCCGGCAGGTTGGAGCTTTGCAGAATGGTTGTAGATGCCGGAAGTCCCAATGAGTCATACGTTGTGGGTTAGTAATAATTTTCACCATGGTTTTGAAATTTATTGAAGGAGCTTACTATTTTGAACTTGGGTGTTGCACCATCGTGCAGGGCAGACCTACTAGCGCTCGAGCGGGTCCACGCACCCGCTCCACCAATTTTCGTAAGTAAAATCTTTTTGGGGCATAAAAGGTGCACCCAGTGAATTTTGAAGGGTGATCAGCGATATTAGAAAATACAGTTAACATTAACTAAAAAACCGAAAAAGTCTCTCCAAATTAACCGAAAAAGTTCATCGAAATGGACAAATAGCTTCAAGAAGTCCCCTGATATCAAGCACAAAACTTTTTAAAAAAATCCCTCAAAGTGGTGGAATTCGGCTAAAACATATCGGGCGACTTTACGGGTTTTTGGTCCACCTCAAGGTGCACCCGCACAACAAAAATCCTAGGTCCGCCACCGAGTCCCCCGCCTCACTACCCGACACTTGTAAACCGAGGGGAAAGATTTGCAGATAAAAGAGAAGAACATTCTTTACAAGAGTCGACACGAACCTTGATTCCACCTTTCTCCTCTTCAACTTGTCCTTTGAATAGATTTATTAAAGGCTTTGCTCCAACACCAACAACAACGATATCTGCTGCCTCCATCTTACCATTTTTTAGTTTAACTTCTTTTACCTGAAGTTAGGGGTCGAGGCTGTTAGAACAAAAACAAATCAAACAAACCCATATAGGTTCTAAAGAGGATATGATGTACTTATATCTTGCCTCTACTCCAAGTAGAAAGGTTGTTAGAAAATAGTTGTACATAGATTAAATAGTGTCCATCTGCGTGACAGCGTGAGGGTGTTTCAATGTGAGATCTTGTACAGGGCCAAGAACCTTGGGTGACCAATTATATATGTTTTAGTGTTTACATAATCATATATGTTCTAACTTTTAGCCTGATTATAATATTTTACTCTTTTACTCTTTTGCCTGATTTGATGACCCTATATTCTAGTTTTAGGTGAATTTCATATGTTACTTTGTCATAATAAGACATTTTTGTTGTTTTAGTTTGTAACATATTTAATAATTGCATATGGTATAAGAGTAAGGTTCATACGGGAACAGTGACCAAAATAAGAAAATAGTTGAATCATGTGCGATTTTACACTAAAATTAAGTGTAAAAGCACATGTGATTCATGCGACTTTGCACACCTTTGCGTTGACCGTTATTGTAAAATCATATGTGATGTTGCACATAATTTGGTTGTTTTCATATTCTCTTATTTGGGTTTTTTTTTTTTTTTTTGCTTTTGAACCTCCCTCTATGGTATAAATCTTTATATTATGTCCTATTCATTAATCACTCGTCCAATTGATCAATTGTCTTGGTAACAGGATCTTCAAAAACACCAGAACGACACTTAATGTCAGAAATCAAACGAGTTCCAGTTGCACGAGTACAAACCTCTCCGCTGTCACCCTTGACAAACCCAGCAGCCACAGTTCCCTTGATGATATTTATTCCCTTTTTCATATAATAACCCTCGTAGAAAGCAGCCATATCGGCAGTGAATAAACGAGGCACTGTAACAGATAATTCATTTCAGATTCTGACTAGAATTAAGAAGGAATGATATTTACTGGTATTCACTTACTGCACCATGGCTCTGGGTAGACCATGCTAACGTTGTAATCATTGATTTTTAGTGCTGCGCTAAGCTCAAGGCCGATGTATCCTCCTCCAACGACAAGCGCGTTTCCATTTTTCTTATTTTTGATTGATTCTACGAGTTTATCAGCATCATGAATTTCTCTCAAGTAAAAAATGTTCTTAGCATCAGCCCCTTCTATACCAAAGTCCTCCAGTCTTAGAACCTGATAAGAAAGTAATAAATGCAAAGGCAGTGAAAAGAGCAGTAGTATATATGATAGTATCCAGAGATTGAGAGTTTACAGTGGAGCCAGTGGCAATTATCAAGACTTCATATTTAAAGGTTTCGCCGGCTGCACTAGTAAGAGTTTTTGAAGCAAGATCTGCTTTGACTATCTCGGTGCTAAGGATCAATGTTATACCTGTAACAGGTAATTTGGGCTTTAGTTGGACATTGGATGCATTCTTTATGTGGCTGAAATGTTAAACGAACTTGCAATACAGTCAGATCTATATACACCCTATGGAGCTTACCACCACTTACCGGGTGAGTGGCGCTTACCCAGTAAGAGATATTGTTGTTTACCAAAACCTCTGATCCACAAATGTCAATTTGTGTTGGTAAATGGCCCCTAATGAATCAATAGATATTATGTGCATAATAATATGAAGAAAAAAAACGTGCCTTTCTCTGCATACCACTCGGGTAGTAGTTTTTCTCCTCCACTTCCAACACAGACATGAAAGCCTGGAAGTCTTGCTGCTCCTGAAGAATAGTGAAGACAAGAAATTGAGAAAAACAACACCAGTAATTAGGACCAACGAGTTGAAGTTGATACTGAAGAGAACTTGATGCAAAATACTTTAGGTCATAATCATAGTTTAGGAATAGGAACTAACAGAAAAAGAGTACCTTCAGGTAACATATATCCCTTGCTGAGTGCAGGGCGTTCATAAGGAGCGACCTAGAAAATTTATAAAAAGAAACATGCAGGTTAGCATCAGAGTATAAATAGTTCATCATAAAAAGATAATCTGGTAACTTAAATTTGAATAGGAGAGATATTTATTCATACACAGTACAAATGTAGGATGTGAAAGATAAAGAGTCGAGAATTAAAGATTGATGTCTCTTCATTATTCCAAGCAGATACAAAAGTATCAAATGGAGCAAAATAATTTTTCCAATAATGATGCATCTATGTATTGGGTAAAACATCCATATAAACAACATGCAGCCTGCAACTCAAACAACTAACCAAAGGGTCATCAGCCCAGTGGTACCCGGTCACTAATAGAGCTCAGCCTGCTAGGAAGACAAAAATTCAAACCTCACCAAAGATTATGATTGTGCGTAAGTATTTACTCTATATAAATATTATATACTTTGAAACTCAAGCAACTGCAGGTACAATAGAATTGGAAGGTCTTGAAAACCATACCGCCTCTTTAGAGATGATTGCTAGCTCGTTAGGCTTAACTCCTTGTTTTTCAAACTCCCGGGCAGCATAACCCTGAACATACGCCAACAATCTTAGTAACTAAAAACAACACAATTAGTTATTGATCTGTGTTAACAAAACTGCAATTGAAAGAGAAGTCCTGTTCTAACTATCAATAAGCCTCTAAATAACTCCAAACTAAAGTAAAGATCATTACTGAACTGATTAATTTTCACCAAACTTGGTATCTGAAAACTGAAAAGATCCGATACCCAATAATTAGTCACAATGTCACGTAATCTGTTTGTCCCCAAGGTGAAACGGATGGATTAGTCCATTCACAACAGTATAACTGCCTCCCTGAACCCTAAGTGATTTCACTTATAAATTCAAACGATTACTTTGAACATTCAAAATTAGTATTATTCCGTTAAAGATGATCAGTTTACTCCATTTTAGTGGATCTGTATTCTATTGAAGATGAAGATTCGGTATGATCCCTAGAGCGAAATATTATCTTATTTTTGGATCAATGAGTCAGATATAGCACTTTAAAATATATTACAAATTCATGATTGTATAGAACCGGGATAGCAATTTGATCACATTTCTGAGTCTGTAACCTCGTGATAAGAACGGTACAATTTAAAATTATCAAAAATGAAGATGAATGTAATGTACGCAAATACAGAATCTGATACCAAACAATTTCAGAAATCAGAAACTGCTACGAATCTACAATCATGAGCGAGACGTGAAATCGAGCAGGCATATGGATTGTAAATAAATAACAAAACAAAGGAAAACGATGATTGAATGATTGATTGATTTATACTCACAGCTGATACACCACCGCCAATGATGACGTATTTAAAACACTTCTCCGCCATTGATGATGATGATGATGATGATAAACCTCCGATGAATGATAGAGAAGATGGAGCATGCATATGACAAATGTGAAGGCATCCACACAATGGACCATATACAAAGTTGTGCGAGTATTATGCTGCATGATCAAAAATGGGGGAACACGTATACATTGACTAATTTTCTTATGTTTTATTAAAAGCATTTCTTTTTTAATTTTATGGTTAATATTTTATGGGCCGGGCCGGGTCAAGATTTGAAGTTGGAAAGGGATCTGATCGAGCTGATATCCCATTCCCGTACCAACTCAAGATATGTTTAGTGGACACTATGTCTTAACGAGTGGAAATCGGAGCCATACCCAACCGAAAAATATGTTATCCAAGTCTAGGTTAAACTGGTTTTTCAAGATTTTTCAGACCGAGTATTTCCCGGGTAGAGCTTGCCCCCAAAATTTGGGCTTGATCGGGCTTCGAGCTCACCAGGCCCGTGCTTATCTGGTTCGAGTCTCGATTGATTTTTGATTTGAGCTTTTTGTGCTCCTTCAGGGTTGTTTGGTTCTGCTGAAAAATGAAAATAACATATGAATTTTCATTTCCCCTCCAATCTAACCGAGAATCAAGGTTTAGGCTTCCATAGGAATGAGTCTAATACTTTTTTTTTTCATTGTCACTGAGTATTGTTTAATATCTCTTATCAAACATCTCATTAGATTCAAGTTTACATACAATTTCTTCAAGCATCGTGTTTAAACTTTATAAAGCAAGCTGACAAACACATTTAAATACTAAATAAGCATCGAGTCTTACTAATATGACAATATATATAGGTTGGGTTCACGTGAAACCAGTCTGTTTTCGTGAGACCCATGAGACCACTTTTTCACAGCAAAACGTTGTTAAGGTAAAAAAAAATCCGAACTTTCACAGCAAAAACACTATTAAGGTTACCTTCAAAGCGTTTTGCGGTGAAGTTTCAACTGTAAAAAAATGGTTTTACATGATCCCAAGTCTCTCTCTCTCTCTATATATATATAGAGAGAGAGAGAGATAGACACACACACACATATATTATATATACTAGAAGGGTACTCGTACAATGCAGCGAGATATAATACGGTTTATGTATTTAAATTTTTTGTTTTACTTTTTTTGTCTATGTTGATATAATACGGTTTATGTAGTTTTGAGAAAGATAATTTCTTACTTTTTAATAAAAATAAATTTGAAGATATCAAATAAAAATTATTTATCAATTATATATAAATATATATATTTATATTTTAATAGTTATTTTGTTTTAATTAAATTGATTAACATAAATAATCGATAAAATGATGGAGAAAAAATTTTTAGTTGTTTGAAATATTATTGATAGTTTATATAAATTAATGAAATAAAATACAATATAATCTTAAAAGTATAAATATAATAATCAACAAATCTGTTATTTTCACATGGTTTGAGAATAATGTAGGTGGATAACTTAACTTTATAGTAAATTACGAAAATAGTACCCAAACTTATGCATTTTTAATAATTAGGTCCTTTGACTTTAGTTTATTGCATTTGTTTTATGTGACCCAGAATTAAATTACAATCAAGTCCTTGTAGTTGCGATTTGAAACCATCAGAAGCTTTCTATAGTTCCCGTCAAATGCGTAAGATATTTCTACAAGGGTAATTAAGTCATTTTCATTAGCCAATCAAATTCTCACTTACTCACCCCTTTTTCTTATATTTTCGATTTTTTACCTTCATTTCCAAATTTGGCATTTTTGGCCCCTGTAGTTTTCTTTTTAGACTTTCAACCACTTAATTTATGACTTTCTATCAAATCGAGGAAGTTTCCGTTGTAATTTTTTGTATTCGGCTTTGGTTGGAGCAGTCGTTGCTTCGGCTCGTGTTCCACTAGTCGTGTCATAAGAAACAATGTCTTCAATTGATTATTCTCTTGATTTTTTTTGTTGACACACGTATGCAATTAATATGTTAACATTACTGATTAGTTTATGAAAAAATCGTTTAAATATATGCTTAGGCTTGTACAGTTGTACTCTTTGAGCAGTAAGTGCAACCTTGCTCAACCCTTCAAATGCAAATTCGATATATCGACTGAAAATAGTAGTTATACAGTGTAGCGACATGCGTTGAAGCATAATATGTTGTTTTCCATTGTTGATTTTACAACTATATGTAGCAGTATTCTCAAAAAACAACTAAATGATATAACAAATTCAGTTCATGTCAGATGAGTCAAAAATCACTAAACAGTTATACTAGTTGAGTCAGACATCAGTACTAAGATTTGTTGTCGGTATCTGTCAAATCACGTGGTCCCTATGCGAAGGTTAAGGTAGGGAAAAGTCAACCAATTTGATTAGTCGAAAAAAGTGGTTATAAAAATAGAGGGACAACACGCGTAAAAGAGTGGGAGACGATACACAAAAGCAAAAGGTAGTTTACGTATGCGAAATCAATTAATGACTTCATATGGACCGATCGTTTTCACATTTTCCTTTTTATTTTGTTTTCTAATTTTTTGTCGATCAACTTTATTGCCAATTAGTCAACATTTTCGGGGATCAATAAGGGACAGTTCAAACGTGATGTAGCTAATAGATAAACATGAACTAAAACACCAATCAAAAAACCCAAAGATATCACAATTGTGTTCCACTAATTAGGATCCTGACAGCACGAGCAATCACCAAAACATCCATGGCCAACTGGTGTATAATTCATGGACGGACCTACTATATGGAAAACGGAGGCACGTTCCACCATATTATTCCTCTGTCGAAAGATAAAAAAATTAGGTTCGTGAAAGATGCAACCGTATTAATTTGTTATGTGCCACCGATGTATTTTGAAACTATAACGAGAACAAGTTTTAATTGGTAGAGTTGGTTTGCGAGACTTTTATTTCATCTTAGACCTAAGTTCGAATTCTGTTAATGTCATTTTCTTAGTCAAATGATGTCACCGTTTGAAAAAAATATGTATATTTGTTTCTTATAGTCAAACGGTGCCACCGTTTGAAAAAATTTCCCTATATTTGTTTCTTATAGTTAAATGGTGCCACCTTTTGATTTTTTTTGGGTCCGTCCCTGATATAATTACTCATTATTTAAATTACAGATCTATAATTCACGATGATTAAAAAATTATTTGTTAAAACTATTACGATTATAAGTGAAGAACAACATAAAGTTAAATAAAAACAAACAACGTTATACTTTTTTATCGTTATTTAGCGGGAATAACGGCTCTGTTACCAAAGGGCCTTTGACCTATCGATATGTGAGTTTTTGACCTACTAGAAGGTCAAAGGTTCAAACCTACCAAATGTAAGGAGGATGTGTGAAGTTATTTGTTTTATTTACCGTGTATAAAATATTATATACTTAAAAAAATAACGTCTCTGTTATAAAATAAAGAGACAACCGGTTTCCATGACATCATATCGCTATTCGGCAAAAAAAAATGTTTGAATACTTAATAAAAAAAAACTAAGGGGTTGTTTGTTTACCTCTTAATAGTTTCATTAAGAGGCAACATCTGAACCGTTAATAGATGAATCTTGTTTGGTAAAAAAAAAGTTTGTCTCTTAATGTTCTAAAACTCTCTAAATGATTTTGTATCTTAGGTATCCCTTAACCATTTAACGTCTTAATTTTATTGTAAACAATTATATTTCATGTTGTACTTTATCATAAAAACATTTTGATCATTCTAACCACTTAAATATTTTGCATCAAATATAAGATATAAAAATTTAAATATAATTTAATTTTTGCAAGATTTGGTTTTAATTATTTGGTTTATAAGTAAAAAATCGGTCCCTTCCGCTAACTTTTTGGCCTACCAACACTCATTAACCTCATAACTTCCAAGAAAGCATCACTTTTCGAACATTCATCGGTCACGTGCTACAATGATTTTTGAATAATAATTGAATAACAAATTATTGATAAATATATTTTTATAATTTTATATTTTTTAATTAATACATAACAAGAGCATATGTGTCATCACATTTATGAAGCACACATGTTCATAACGTATTATAGAATAACCGAAAAAGAACAACAATAAAATAACAAGAAGGAATATGTATTCTCATTAATCATAAACTCTTTTTATAATGATGAATTACAAGTAAATAATTACGAGATATTTCATTTATAATTTAACTCTGATATATATATATATATATATATATATCTTTATTGTTATATCATTTGACGATGACACACTTATCTTACAACATATATGTATATTTCTAATCTTATCATCATAT